GGAGGTCATTCTCGTGCCTAGCCTGGTCACACATCCTAATTGGTTAGCTAATGCCCCCTTATGTTCTCCCCCACTCTTAGTTTAGCATGAACTAGGTTCATGAGGAAAAAAGGTTCCAATGAATGATTGAAGTCATGATCTGAACGAGTCGCCACATGTTCCTCGAAGTAGGTTGACAACCTTCGCCAACTGTCTTCAGAGCTCTTTTGCGTCTTTATTGTCTATCGGTAGCCAGCCCTTGCTTTTTCGCAAACTATAGGGGCTAGAGCTTTAAATGAAAGAATAGTTGAAAGATAAATGAAAGCAAGTATTATATAGTATAATTCTGCTCTAGAAGCACCACGCGATTCTTCTCTCACAAGTCACATACAGACCAAGCATCGTCTCCTTTGCTTTGGTCCTATAGTACATGCAAAGGAGTACATGACTTTGGCGTTTGGTTGTGTCAATCTTAATTATGTAGAGGCAGGGTGTTATATATCATATTTTGTATCTGCTTTATGCTACATTATTAGTTAATAACACCACCCTTTTTTTGCGGGGTAATAACACCACCCTTTATTGAAAAAGCACGTGCAAAGGACTAAATCAGTCACAAGTACTAGCACCTTCTCCTCCCTTGCGAGCGATCAACACCAAAAGCAAAAATCCACACTAGCAACTCTTTCTAACCCACTTCTCCATGCTCCAGGCTACTACCACCAGTTACGCTCACTTTTCTTAGCGCAACTTCAGTAGAGGCACCATATTGTGTAGCTTTGTCGTTCTAGAACGCGCTCCATATTTGTGAGGCTGTGCATAATAATCACAGACGCCATAACTGGAACTCCATGTTTTGCAGATCCATTCGCTGGGCCTATGTTCGTTCTTTAGAAAAAGAAGTTGCACATTGTGTTGAATAACACACTAGAATTGAAATTGGCCTAGAATGATAACAAAAAAAAAAGACCTAAGACGACTAGTCAAATTTATCTGGATCGATAAATCAAAATATCATTCTATTTCTTCTACTTCCACCGTTTGAGTGACTTCACATGTGGGGAGACTTCGGCTACTTCCACTTCATGGTGGCTTCTGCTTATTCCATGGTAGGATCCACCAATGGAGAGAAGTACCAGTGGGCGGTGGGAAGGAGCTCGGGCCCAACGGCTGATTCAGCCTTCGGGAGCCAGTCGACCTAGACCCACACACGGTAATGTCAGACCCTCTCCCAGTTCTTCCGTTCGGTGCATTCCATTTAGGTCTCGCCCGAAAAGGTTCCCCGGGGAGGGCCTGGAGGCGACATGTCTCAAGCGCAGTGGGGGCAGAGGAAGATAGTGGGGAGGGAAGAGGAAGATGACCCATTATGGATGTTTGGCAACAACAAGAAGAGTGTCACTTTATATAGCCATGGTCATGGGCACGCTCCAGCGGGAAAACGAGGCAAGAAAGGGTGCGCGGAGGCGGGAAATGGGCGTGAACCGGCTGGACAGGCGGCATCAGCCATTCAGGGCCATTTCTTCGGCCGAGGTTTCCCTCCCGCTGGGACGGTTGGATAAGAAGGCCGTTGGTGCCACCTTGGCTCCGATGTCATGTGTATCTGGGGAAATTTCTGAAATCCCTGTCACCTCTTACATGATGTTACACATGAGTATACATCATATGGTACACAATATTAAATGTGACAACTGAAATTTGCAATACGACCTGAGTATGCTAAACGTGAAATACATGCAGTAGAAAAACCTACTGTCCTTCCTGAAAAAGAAAAAGAAAGCTAACTGTGCAAGTTGTTATTCTTCAGGAAACACAAGAGTCTGGCAAGCTACTTCAGGTCCAGCCGGCTCTACTCGTGTTTCACTTGCAACCCGGGAAATCGATCCCATGCCCGCTGCAGCTAACAAACGACACGGATGAACACGTGGCATTTAAGCTTAGTACAACGGAGAGTGTGGACTGGTCGGAGCACTTCATGGCCAGGCTGCCAATATTCGGCGTTGTGACGGCACGATCCACTTACACCCTCGTTCTAACAGTGTCGGAGTGTGATGTACCAGACAAAAGAATTTGTGTTATGACCCTGCAGAGCTGTGTATCACACCACATCCGGAAGTTCAGAGACAAACATGAGTACGAGGGATTTTTTAAAGATAATAACAAGGCAGGGAATGAAGTGCATGAGGTGAAACTGACCGCCTTCTTGTCTGTGAAAGCACCGTCAACGTCGTCCGAGGTGAGAAACAAACTTTTCTTTATGCTCATCATCCAAAGCTTTATTTATGAAGAATGCTCAACTGACTTGTTAGTGTTGGTGTGTTTGCATTGGTCATGGTCGTGGTTGTCGCGCTTGCATGGTACGTCATGGTCAACATTTTGCAGTCAACCGGGCCGGGTGTCAGGGTATATACATCCATTTCTCCTCATTTCTACTCTCTTTGTAAGAAAATATAAGACAAACGTTGTAGGTCACTAAACTACGGATACGTCACTAGTTTAGTGACCTAAAACGTATGTAACTAGTGACAAAAAACGTACGTCACTAGTTTAGTGACGTAAAACATACATCTTATATTTGTTTCTTTTTGGTTTGTAAGGTTCGTGAATGCATCTTAACCATACATAGCCTCTGTTGAATCAGATCTTGTCCATGGAGAAACCATGGAAAACTCTATATTCCGTGGATGCCCATCCGAACAATCCCTGGTGAGTGCACTCAGGTCTTAAAGAAAAACAAAAGTTTTCTTTTTTGCTTGTTATACTCTTCGTTCCTTCGTTGGGTGTGCTTGAAGATTCTAATCCACATCCATATGTAGCATGCGAATCTTCAGGGCCAGTTTGACTATTTTTTATGAGAGTGTAGGAAAGCATGCACGATAGGTAGCATACTGACAAAATTTCGTTAATTCTGTATTACAGGATCATAACTGGTCATGCTTGTGGACATGTTCGCATTTGGAACCATGAGACAAAGGCAAGCGACTCATTCCTTCAATAGAGTAGCATGTTATTATAGTGTTTACGTTGCAAGTTTTAACTACAAACGAGCTCGATTTGTTGGGAAAAAATTCCCACCCTTTGATATTGACAGCCCATATATTTCATGAGTTATTACCAAAGACAGAATGGTGGAGTGTTTCAAACAGCCTAACAAGAACACTGAATTATCATCTGATTTTGCGATGGTTTATATTTGACACCTTTTGCATGGGATCTTCAAAATAGAAAATCTCACCGGAACTAGAAAATACCACTCTCTCTCTCTCTCTCATGCATTGTCAAACACATAGTCCCTTGTTTTACTAGACTAACATATTTTCTAAATTTATTACTTGCAGACCCTATTGGATTCCTTTAAGGTCTCATTGGAACCAGGCATGCTTCCTTACCCCTTTCTTGTTGATTAAGTTTCTTCCTTAAGTTGGTGGGCTCATCATGAATTAGGTCAGGGAGGCTGGTGGTTTCGGGATAGGCCAGTCGTAGAATAGAGTAACTTAGACTAGTGTGATACATATGACACTAGACTATGTTACTATCTTCATAGTGCAAAATGTCAGAGGTAGTATTATAGATGATTGCATTTATTAGCTTGTAGACTCATTTTGCCTTGGCGAGCGTTATGTTACGGTAACATATTATGTTACCGCAAACACCTCCCTCCTTATTGACTACATGTCACATAAGTAAACTTGCCTTGGGTGTGTTTGTTACTACTTATTCCCACTATGACCAGCCTTACTCTCACTGCAATTTATTTGTACTCCTTTCTTCCTAAAACAAGTGTCGCAAAACTTTGTACTAAATCAGAGACATTTATTTCGGACGAAGAGAGTAATTATTTTTAAACAACAGAAAAGGCTTAACCCGTTCTATTGACTACGAAGAATTGCACCTGGTTAATTAGCAGAAAATCTAGCTAAAACTGATACTTATGCACACACGGGCCATCCTAAAACATGGCTGCCTGTAGTGCACACCCCGACTTGGCACAAATCATATAAACTACACACATAGTCGAGAAGAAGCACACCATGGAGATTGCACACAAGCGTGGTCATCTCAATTCTTCATGAGCAAGAGACTCGGACTTCACCAAATAGTACCATGATGATGCCTTCACCGTAACAGATGCATGAAGCCACACACATCCACAATAGGCGGCTCCGATCCAAGGACGAGCTAGGAAGCAGAAGGTTGGCGCCACTAAAGATCATAAGCCAGCCATCTGTCACCGGCCATCGTCATCGCCTGGACACTACTGCCGGTCACAAACTTGCTACAACTTCGACATCACTCAGCCCCTTCATCGTTGCCGCACAAGTCGATGAAACCAGGTGGCAACCACCCCGACACGCTTACCACTTATGCCTCCGGCTAGCCCCAACCTCAATAATAATGCCCCCATGAGGTACACGATGTAAGGTGCTGTCATCGTCGATCTGGAGTAGAGCACATCACCATGACGACGCCTTCAGGAAGATAGCCACGCACCTCCTTGCTAGCTAGCATGGTCGGAAGTAAGGGCGTGTGTTCCGTTGGTGCCCATGCTAGTCCTACCAAATTTTGGCAAGAATTGGCTTCCTAATTTCTTGGCCAAGCAAACCCTCACCCTATTTTCTTTTGAAAAGACACATGTCCTAAAAAACACACCCATAAGAAAAATATAAAATATTACAATCAAATCCTTGGAAAGTATTAAAGTCCTTTTCTCCTACATCCACCGTCAACGCGCTATGAGCATATCTCGAAGAGACCTTAACAAAATTTTATAAACACAAGAGCTTGTAGAAGCAGTGGTCAAAAGTTGTTAACGCAGACCAGGAGATGCCGGCGGCCGCAGTCTACGAACCAAATCACTGATCCAAAGAAGGAAACACTAATAAGGGCCTGTACAAACTCCGAAGAACATGAAAGTTGGCCGAATCCAGACGGATCCACTGAAAATCTAAACCGACAAGATCCTGGAAGACCCATCGGAGACACAGCTCTGCCGACAATAAGCATACCAATGAAATGGAAAGATGATGGGACAAACATTATTCCTAAATTGGGACAGCGTAGCCGCCTCATCGGCCCAACCAAAACACGAAGACTCCCTAAAGGAAACTTGAAAAAATCACCCACGCAGCTGCATGACAGGTTCTGGCATCATATCGAGCTCGCCATCTCATAACAACCTTCTCCGCTGGTGATCTAGCACCGCCTGATGCAGATCACTCAAACACACATCTCCTTCGCCATCTCACAACAACCCTCCAAACCACCACAATGGGCCGCCCCTAAACATGATCTCCCTGCCAGCGTCGCATGGGATTTGACCGGCGACGTGCCCAGGCGGCGGGAAGAGGAAGAGAAGATGGGTGGTGGCTAGGGTTTTCTGGTTGCCTCCCTCACCCTCATTTGACCAATTATTGGGCAAACATCTGGAGAGAAGGAGGTTCCATCCATTGACAATCAATATTTTGATTAAACAAACCAATAAATGGCAAAATTTGGTGTTTTTAATCATGACCAAAGTTTGGTTGGTAGCCAATTTTTTTCAGTTGAGCTCATGTAGGCATCAAAATAAGACATATCCTAAGAGCAGCTACAACCGGGCTCCTTATTTTGACCAGGCAAACGCCCGGTTACTGACTTGTCAGATTTATTGGACTGAATCAGCCTCCTCAAATTGCCCGTCCGGACTGGCCAACACTCCTCATATCTAATTTATATCTGAAGCGGATATGAGGAGAACCAAATGCACCCGGGCGCATCTGCCTCCTTGGACCGGCCCACATTGGCCATCGTCGACCCCATCATGTCCCCACTAACTCCCATCCTCGAGTAACCCTAGCTCACTATCTCACTCTCCGCTCTACTCCTCGTCGATCAACCTCTCCTTTCTATCCCCTGCTCTCCCAATGTAGAGCACCAACAGTGCATGTTGCGACGGATCTGGCGGCAAGGACTCCCCATCGATTGGGACGCCCTCCTCTGCAAGGCAATGTAGAGCTTTGTGATCCGCGTCGTGCTATAGTGGTTGGAGGTGGACATAGGCAGTATCTTGAGCTCCGGTCAATCCCCTATCGTGCGGCGACACATCACGGACACTGGCGCCTGCACGTCGTGCTCATTGGAGTTGCCCTTAGGCCAACTCCAACGCACAACTAAATTTCGTCCGGGCGTGTCCGTTTTAGTTCAAATGAACATAAACAACGGCCCAACATGCATGAGCATACCCATTTTCTGTCCGGTTTGTGTCTGGCTTGACCCAAAGCCGGTACAAATCTGGGCTGCATTTGCGTCAAGACACACACTAGACGGATATGCACACGTCTTCTGATGGTCAGCCATCAAGCCGCATGTCGGTCGGGCAACTACTACCCATCAGCCCCATTTAATCCGCACGGGTGGTCGGGCCCGCACGACAGCCTCCCAGCCGCCCTCCAACCCATCCTTTTCTAATGCCGAAGCTATCGGCCGGTCAGTCCACTTCTTGCTCTGTCCACACTCTTCCATTACCCCCCTCAATGCCCGGCCCACGCAACCCTAGTGTTGGGGAACGTAGCAAAAATTCAAAATTTTCCTACGTATCACCAAGATCTATCTATGGAGAAACTAGCAACGAGGGGAAGGAGAGTGCATCTACATACCCTTGTAGATCGCTAAGCGGAAGCGTTCAAGTGAACGGGGTTGATGGAGTCATACTCGTCGTGATTCAAATCACCGATGATCAAGTGCCGAACGCACGGCACCTCCGCGTTCAACACACGTACAGCCCGGTGACGTCTCCCACGCCTTGATCCAGCAAGGAGAGAGGGAGAGGTTGAGGAAGACTCCATCCAGCAGCAGCACAACGGCGTGGTGGTGGTGGAGGAGCGTGGCAATCCCGCAGGGCTTCGCCAAGCACCATGGGAGAGGAGGAGGAGGAGAGGCAGGGCTGCACCAACGAGACGAGAAGTTCTCTTGTGCTATGGGCAGCCCCAGGCCTTTATTTATATAGGGGAGAAGGGGGCTGCGCCCCCTTTAGGGTTTCCCACCCCAAGGGGTGCGGCCAGCCCTAGATGGGACTTGGGGAGGCGGCCAAGAGGGGGAGAGAGGGGAGGCGCACACTAGGTGGGCCTTAAGGCCCATCTGGACTAGGGTTTGCCCTCTCCCACTCTCCCTTGCGCCTTGGACACCTTGTGGGGGGCGCACCAGCCCTCCTAGGGGCTGGTCCCCTCCCACACTTGGCCCACGCAGCCTTCTGGGGCAGGTGGCCCCACTTGGTGGACTCCCGGGACCCTCCCGGTGGTCCCGGTACAATACCGATATCGCCCGAAACTTTTCCGGTGACCAAAACAGGACTTCCCATATATAAATCTTTACCTCCGGACCATTCCGGAACTCCTCGTGACGTCCGGGATCTCATCCGGGACTCCGAACAACATTCGGTAACCACATACAAGCTTCCTTTATAACCCTAGCGTCATCGAACCTTAAGTGTGTAGACCCTACGGGTTCGGGAGACATGCAGACATGACCGAGACGTTCTCCGGTCAATAACCAACAGCGGGATCTGGATACCCATGATGGCTCCCACATGTTTCACGATGATCTCATCGGATGAACCACGATGTCAAGGACTTAATCAATCCCGTATTCAATTCCCTTTGTCTATCGGTATGTTACATGCCCGAGATTCGATCGTCGGTATCCAATACCTTGTTCAATCTCGTTACCGGCAAGTCACTTTACTCGTTCCGTAACACATCATCCCGTGATCAACTCCTTGTTCACATTGCGCATATGATGATGTCCTACCGAGTGGGCCCAGAGATACCTCTCCGTTTACACGGAGTGACAAATCCCAGTCTCGATCCGCATAAAACAATAGATACTTTCGGAGATACCTGTAGTGCACCTTTATAGTCACCCAGTTGCGTTGTGACGTTTGATACACCCAAAGCACTCCTACGGTATCCAGGAGTTACACACTCTCATGGTCAAAGGAATAGATACTTGACATTGGCAAAGCTCTAGCAAACGAACTACACGATCTTTATGCTAGGCTTAGGATTGAGTCTTGTCCATCACATGATTCTCCTAATGATGTGATCCCGTTATCAACGACATCCAATGTCCATGGTTAGGAAACCGTAACCATCTGTTGATCAACGAGCTAGTCAACTAGAGGCTTACTAGGGACATAGTGTTGTCTATGTATTCACACGTGTATTATGATTTCCGGATAATACAGTTATAGCATGAATAAAAGACTATTATCATGAACTAAGAAATATAATAATAACACTTTTATTATTGCCTCTAGGGCATATTTCCAACAGTCTCCCACTTGCACTAGAGTCAATAATCCAGTTCACATCGCCATGTGATTAACACTCACAGGTCACATCGCCATGTGACTAATACCCAAGAGTTTACT